TCCAACCTAATAGCAATCGCCTCCAACCAAATAGCGATGACCTCCAATCTAGGAGCGATGCCCTCCAACCTAATCGCGATGGCCACCAACCAAATAGCAATGGCCTCCAACCTGATAATAGCAATCGCCTCCAATCTAATCGCATTTGCCTCCAACCTACGAGCGATGGCCTCCAACCTACGAGCGATGGCCTCCAACCTAATTACGATGGCCTCCAACCTAATAGCAATCGCCTCCCACCTAATAGCGAGGGCCTCCAACCTAATAGTGATGGCCTCCAACCTAAGAGCGATGGCCTCCTGGCCTCCAACCTGAGAGCGATGGCCTCCAACCTAATAGGGATCGCCTCCAACCAAATAGCAATCGCCTCCAACCTACGAGCGATGGCCTCCAACCTAATAGCGATGGCCTCCAACCTAATAGCGACGGCCTCCAATCTACCAGTGATGGCCTCCAACCTAATAGCGACAAATAGCGATGGGCTCCAACCTAATAGTTTGGCCTCCAACCTAGTAGCGATGGCCTCCAACCTAATAGCGATGGCCTCCAACCTAATTACGATGTCCTCCATCCTAATAGCGCTGGCCCCCAACCTACTATAGTGATGGCCTCCACGCTAATAGCAATCGCCTCCAACCTAATAGCGATGGCCTCCAACCTACTATAGTGATGGCCTCCAACCTAATAGCAATCGCCTCCAACCTAATAGCGATGGCCTCCAACCTAATAGCCATGGCCTCCAACCAAAAAGCGATGGCCTCCAACCTAATAGCGATGGCCTCCAACCTAATAGTGATGGCCTCCAACCTAATAGCAATCGCCTCCAACCTAATAGCGATGGCCTCCAACCTAATAGTGATGGCCTCCAACCTAAGAGCGATGGCCTCCTCGCCTCCAACCTCAGAGCGATCGCCTCCAGCGTAAGAGGGATGGTCTCGAACCTAAGAGCGATGGCCTCCAACCTAAGAGGGATGGGAATAGATGTGCAAAAACATGCAAAAACTGCCCTGTGCAAAGATTCGCACTTCCGAGATGCTACGGAATCCACGGCGACTCCGAGAGCACCCTCGATCGAGCACCCGTCCTTCACTACCACAAGAACCCCTCAGTGTTACACAATGTTACACATTGTTTGGGCCAGAAACAAACGCAACAAAGACGGGCAAGCAAATAGAAAGAAACAGCTGAAATGCGTGACGACCCGTTGTGGAAGGGGATGGCAAAGGATGCAACCGATCACGGGCACTGATAATGCTGGTGAGGTTTGCACTTGAGTCAGCCGTGTAAGGGGCGGGAGTTGGACTATTCGACTGTCTGAGATACCTATGGTGCCACAAGGACGCAGTCCCTCGTCGTTATGATTGCTCCGCGATTGCTAGAACATGCTAGAACGATCTTTGAACCGAGAAGAGTGATCGAGTTGCGGTCTGTTGCCTTGAGTAAAGGCCTTCCAATTGTGACTCGAGGCAACATAGCTTTTTAAAGCAGAGTTGGGCCGTGGAGAGGTAAGTGCTTAAGTATGCTCACGTGAATAGTAGCTACTAGGTAGGCTAGGTAGGGTAGGCTAGGCGCTGCTAGGTTAGGATACAATGCTATGCTCCGGCTTCTTCAAGAAAGCTCTCCCCGTCTGAGGGCGGTGAGCTTCACAAACGACTCACATGATTGATTTTGTTTCCCTTCACTCCTAGATGCTAAAAAACTAGACGACGAGTGGCCCGAAAGCATTTTTCATCACGTAGGAAGTCAGAGTGTGAGTTATCCGGTAAGTGTGCAGTGAGAAGTGTGAAGTCGAGTGAGTTGAGGTAATGTGTGGGTTTCTGTGCGTGTGTCTATGTCCGTGTGGAAATGAGTCTGCGTATGTGTGTGTTCGTGTAAATTGAGGGAGTGTGTGGGTGTCTGTGTGTGATGCGGCCTCCCAAACCCCCCACCGGCGGCCAAGCGGTGACAGCCCAGCTCATCGTCGTGAGCATTTGGGCTGCTGGTAAGGGGACAATGGCAGCCAGCGTGCTGGCTTACCCACTTCAACTATGATGGTAGCCAGCGCGCTGGCTCATACCCACTTCAACTATGATGGCAGCCAGCATGCTGGCTTTGCCATCTGGACAATGGCAGCCAGCGTGCTGGCTTACCCACTTCAACTATGATGCTAGCCAGCGTGCTGGCTTTGCCATCTCAACAATTGCATCACCACATGCTGCACTGCAGACTGAACAATAACGTGTGAATCATCTGCCTCTGGTCATCCTGGTTGACAATGCCAAGGTTCCCTGGCATGATGGCTGGGCAAAGAGGAAGACCTACGAGCTAGTGGGCTGCAAAGTAGTAAATAGCGCATGCATAGCCATAAGAAGGCTCTGGTTCATGTGCGATATGAATATTGCAAAAGCTTGTGGGTTCCGTGAAACTTCTTCCAAGTATATTCGTCACTGCTGTTGAGTAGATATTTTGGTAGTTGGCTCAAGTTGTATGGAGACTTCTGCAATGTCACTGTCAGCACCGACAGGTCAGCCACGGAAAATACACAGTCTGTTGGCGCAGGCGCTCTGAGGGTGACATGTGCTTCGCGCTAGAAGTAGTTAAGAACCACTATGCTGTTCATTTTCTAATCGCCTCTCCTACAGAAACATGCAACAAAGTAGCACGAGGTTAAAAACCGAGCTGGAATGAACACAGAAAATGCTGAGGCAGCCACGCCAGAAGCGTCTCGAAGCAGTGACCTGTCAGAGGAAAGGCATCCATGGATATATATCTTCCGGGCAAAAACGTTTACTTCACTCCAGGACACAGCTTTTCTAGGATGTAGTTAACCAACCACGATGCTTGTCATTGAGTAATTGACTGTCTCAGAGAAAAACGCGACAAAGTAGCGTGAGGTGACACACAGCAGGCACTGTAGATGTTTTAGCGCACTCTCGCTGTTCGGCTCGCGACAAGTCTTTGTACACAGCAAGGATAGCGTTGTGCTTCCGCAGAACGACGTCCACACAGAATTTATCAGGAAGAAGTCACGGTATGAGACACACAGTTGGTTGGGTCTAGCGCGTCCGCCCGAAGCAGATCTGGATGGTGTAGGCATCTGTGAAGTTGCGGCTGTTGTTCCTCACCCAGTCGTGCCATCCACTGGACCACTGGACCACTCGCCAAAACTGCGATGTTTCTCCATGGGCAACCCAGTATCTGTTTGCTATGGACTGGTTTGGCCATCTTGCATGGATGAGCTCTGGCTGGTCGTCATGGTATGTCCTCCTTCCATAGGACCAACAGAGGCACACCTGTCTCTGGTCATCATGGGCGACGCTGAAGAAGTGATCCTCAACAATGCCAAGGTTCCCTGGCATGATGGCTGGGCAAAGAGGGAGACCTACGAGCTAGTGGGCTGCAAATTGGTAAATAGCACATGCATAGCTCTGAGAAGGCTCGGCTTGCCTTGTAAAGGTTTATGTGGGAAATGAATATTGCAAAAGCTTGTGGGGCGCGTTCAAACTTCTTGCAAGTATATTCTTCATTGCTGTTGAGTTGATTTTGTGGTAGTTGGCCCCAGTTGTATGGAGACTTCTGCAATGTCACTGTGAGCACCGAAAGGTCAGCCACGGAAAATGCACAGTCGGTTGGCACGCTCTGAGGGTGACATGTGCTTCGCTTTAGATGTAGTTAAGAACCACTATGCTGCTCATTTTCCAATCGCCTCTCCTACAGAAACATGCAAGAAAGTAGCACGAGGTGACACATAGCAGGCACGGCGCATGTTTTCGTGTGCTCTGGCCGTTCAGCTCGCGACTAGCCCTTGTATAGGGCAAAGACTCCCCGACACTATGTCTATACTTGTCGTGCTTCCGCAAAACGACGTCCACACAGGATTTGTAAGGAAGAATTCATGGTATGAGACATGCAGTTGGTTACCATGTGAACATCTAGGTGACACCCTGCGTCGGGGAGACTCTCACTGCGGTGTCCGCTCCGGAGACACGGCGGCGACCATCTGGGCCAACTGGGCGGCTTCGAGGGTGCCATCTGGTGACACGTCCGCCAGTGGGATGCGGAGCGGGGGGTCCACTTGAACAAACCTGCCAGTCTGGTCGTGGCAGCCGCTGAGTTCGATGCAATCGGGCGGTGTGGTATTTGCAGCGCGGGCCGCTTCCCACGACCGCCCAAGACGCTGGCATGGTCGACAGATAAGGTGATCGGCATCGCACTGGGCGCAAACGGCGTTGAACGGCCGCAGCGAACAAGCCTCGCACCAGGAATGCGTCCACTGCCCGCAAAGTTCGCAAGGTTGGGCTCCGAGGTCTCGTCCAGGTAAGTTTTCAGCCGCAGTGACCAGCGCAAACGCCGCCCTCTTGGGAAAAGATCGCTGGCGCTCCTCGCGTGGCACTCTGCGATGGTCCTCGCGCGGATGTAGGCGCAACCAAACCTCCGCTTCCGCGACCCACGCTTCCCAAGCCACTGGGCGCAGGGCAGTCATGGCACGGCGGCGTGGTGAGAGGAATGACGACGAGGTGTGCTTACAAGTGACTGGCTGCGAAGCACCGGAACCCAGTTTCCAAGTAGCACTGACACAGCGTACAATCGTGTGTACTGTGGTATTCGTCTTCGGCCCTCGCCCGTCCTCGCCTTCTTGTCGAAGAGCACACCTGGCGAGAAAAACAAGAGGCTTGGCGAGAAACCTCTCAGATGTCTCTTGTGCTAGGCTTACCCACTTCAACTATGATGGTAGCCAGCGTGCTGGCTCATGCCCACTTCAACTATAATGGCAGCCAGCGTGCTGGCTTTGCCATCTGGACAATGGCAGCCAGCGTGCTGGCTTACCCACTTCAACTATGATGGCAGCCAGCGTGCTGGCTTACCCACTTCAACTATGATGGTAGCCAGCGTGCTGGCTTTCCATCTGGACAATGGCAGCCAGCAAGCTGGCTTCCACTGCCTGTTGTCAGCCAAAGTCTTTGCGCGGCTATCGACACGCCCGATCTCCGCAGAGGGTTGCGCGCACAGCCGGCAAATCGCACTCTCGCCTGCATTTCGCGCACTCGACACGCACGATCTCCGCAGAGGGTTGCGCGCACAGCCGGCAAATCGCACCCTCGCCTG